CGAGAAAGGAATAAATGTCAACTTGATGCTGTTCTGAGACCAGAGTGGTCTGTGCGGGTAGATAAGAGTCTCAGGAGGATGTCGGCCCACCTTGGCCACTGTCGTGACATTTATTAATCACACTCTCAGGAGGCAGCTTGTCTCCTTTTAAGTCCATTTGAGTGGCCAGAGCCCTGGGAAATGAATGTGTTTCTTATTTTGTCGGGGTGTAGTCCATTATATGTAAAGCACATTCCTACCAATAAACAAACGTGTGCACAGTCTGACAAAGTAGCCTGCGGTTCAACACTTCACTCTCTCGATTGTACAGAAAACTTTCATGATTCTCAATATCTGTGCATTAAACTGCCATCGACATGTACCGCAGATTTAACAGCTACAACATACAACATAAGGAGAAACAGAAAAGCCCTTGAGCTGACAGCAGCCAATCAACAGAGCACCATGAAAGGAAAAGGAAGCAAGAAAATACAAATTCAATAAAGTGACAACACAGAGGGCAGCTTCTTCCATATGCTTTTTCATATTTCCTCTTATCGTTATGCTTTGAAAGGTTTTATTCCACTGGGCTGTATGAACAGCAAGGGGAATCCGGTAAAACAAGATAGTACCGCACTTACTGTATTACATTTTGAGGAGATATACATATGCCTTTAAATAAGAAAGTGATATGAATACAACATGGACTGCCCTTTCTGGACAGGTTTTATTTTGCAGCAATTTAATTTTGTTGGACCTATTTGTTATTTTATTGAAGCTAACATTGTGGCATAAGGTGGTTTAGATTGCTGCTCTACAGCTTAATGCGAAAAGGAGGCCCTTTTTTAAAGGGATTGTATGCAGACTTATGGTCACTGATTGAAAATAGTTTATAGTTTGCTTTTGCAGTGGGGACACTGCATTTGTGAGGCAAGCTCAGTTCGGTCAATCAGACAGAAACTCCCCCCTCATCTAGTTCCGGATGCAATCAAACTGCATCACAGTTTGGTAAAAATCATGCTCTGCCTCTGGTTACATATGCATCTAATCAACACAAAGACACAGAGCGGCAGGTTTGCACATTTTCTCAGAAAATCTCATTTAAAACAAGAAACTTTTTAACAAGGAACTTTTATTGTGCTGATGGATTATTATGTTTTTTCACAATGTTGAAAACGCTCCACATTGTTGCACAAGAATTGTTTCATGTACTTTGTGTGCCTATAATTTGTGATTCTGTTATACTGTAGTTCTCGCTCCCCGGGAGGTTTCAGCAGCAGAAAACCTGAGAGGCTCAGACCACATTGAGATAAACTGATAATTAGTGTTACTTATACTGTGTCTCCACAAATTAGGCCACAACGCTGAAAAAAATAGGAATACAAAGGAAAATGGCAGGTCTAACTTTCGTTAATTTAAAATGTGATACCACCCTCAGTTTTGGCAGTTGTCAGAAAGGGCAATAGGGAGCTTGTTAGCACAGAGCACCGCAGGGGTAGTGAGTCCAACGTCTACAACATCATTTGTGCCCCAGAGGAAAGCAACAAATCCAAATTTCCCAGGAACTATAAAGGTAATACAAATTGGCTCGGCTGGCTGATGGAGGGTGGCCTTTCATTATGTATGCTACTGTTTCTACTTTGTGCTTCTCATCTTACCAAATTTCTCATGTGCCTCAAATGTACTGTTGAATATTATTGGTGTAATGTAATCCCACCATTGATACACAGTATTGTTTGGGGTTTTTTTTGTTTTAAGCATTATTTAAATACTGCAGGCCATCGTGTCAACCAGTATGTGTTGACTATATACCAACAGAGTGAAAAGAAGTCTGAAGCTGATGTTGCGGTAAAGCTTATTATAAACTGTCCTGGTGGGAGCTGGAAAAGAAACCAGTCTTGACTGGCTGGCAGGCAGCCTGATCACACCTACAGAATGCTCCATTGTCCCACTTTAAAAATCTGGCTTCAGCCTCACTCTAGGGCATATGAAATAATGCAAGAAAAAAGGAGAACAAACCTTTGACCATAACGAATTTTAAAAATGATCAGTGTACCCTCCTGACAGAAGTTATGAAGAGCTGATTTGTTCTACTACTGACATAATAAGTTAGACACAGACCTAAAATGAAGACACGGTTCAGGCAAAACAAACCTCTGCTTGCTCAACAACTGCAGTTGTTCTTCACTGTCTACATCCTGTACATCTTTGAAAATAAAGGAGGATCTCATGGACAAATCATGAGCTGCAGAAACTGAACTCATTCGTGTGTGGACAACTGGACAGCGCTGCAAGTTAAGCATGCAGCCTCTTAACAGCATGTGGTTTCGTTTCAAAAGCCTCTCTGAGACTATATGTGTGGGCACTCAGCAACGACATTAAAGCAATGCACAGCAGCACAATTTAAAACTGCTGCAGCTGTCACCACTCACCCTGGGGGGCTGATTTTAATCATGGAATGTTCACCCTTGCTATTGCCATTGACCTGTGTAGGGCTGAACTGTGGAGCAATAATAACGCCAGTTTCAAGATACAATGCTACATCATCTACAACAATAGCCGTATTGAGCAGGCTGGTTCAGGCCTGACAATATGTTAATGATCAGGGAGGGGAATCATATCCAGGAGCGCAGAGTTTCTGCTGACGTGGTTTCTGCTAACAGCCTGTAATTACTGACGTGGCAGAGAGCTGTCCGTGGTGCTGAAGGGGCTCAGCAGTGAGAGCTGACAGGGACAGTCAGCGCTCCACTGGAACTGTCCAGCAGTTCAACGAGAGCCTGAGGTTCCTGATGTGTTGGATTCAAGTTGTGGTTGTGTCGATCCATTGTTATCAAACAAGTGTATTTTAAGTGGTATTTTAGCTCCTGCTTTATATTAACAATCATGCACACCATAATGCAAACAGCCCTGCAGGGGAAGCCGCCCTCCAGAACCTCCCATCAACATTGCCCCCCCCCCTTCCACAGCTAGCTCAGCTCATTGCATCATTTGCAGGGCCTATTAGGGCCACTTCAAAGGACATGAGGATTTATCAGTTCAGGTCTATAAAGCCGCTGGATTATTATTGATTCATTTTACCCCAGCAGGCCCATCACAATGTCTAAACTGAAAAAAAAAAAAAACAATGCAGGACATTGTAGTGATAAAACTTTTATGAATTGAAATGGTCCCCCATCAACCAGACGCAGGTCAGCATGGTGTTGGACAGGGACTCTTAAAGTATTACATAAAAAAAGAGAACCCAGAGAAGTACAAAACCACAGTGTTGCCTTGCTGTATTATTGTTAGAAGCCTGAGCTGTCTCCCTCCCTCACTGTATGAGCTCAGTCAATGAAGTCACAGCCAGGGTGAGCTCCTGCTCACCTCACTGGTGACCTGCTGGAACCCAGCGAACCCCAGGGCTGCCCTCGAGACCAGTTTGTGAGTCAGTGTACAGCAGCAAGTGAATTATGAATTAATGCAAGAAACAACATGTTGCATTATCCAGTATATTTGGTCAACATAGTATCCAATAAGACCTTGTGTCACAATTAGCTTTTGGTGGCATCTTTGTTCATTGTCACAGGCATGTAATGGAGTAGAGGATGATGAATTGTTAGCTACAGATTATTGTAAGCTATTTTACAGAGTAGTGAGTGTTCTGTTATCCCTGTACATGATACAAAACTGTTCAAGAAAACAGTATGACTAAATGTTATGCATTTAGTTGAGCCAATCATTTCTAAATTGCAAGCAAGTGAATTTCTGAAGTGAGCTCAGGAAAAAGGTAGAATGACTCATTCAAATATAGGATTTCTAATGATGTAGCTTTGTAACATACGCTTGTGCATCAGTGGGGTATTATTTTTGACATCCTGTCCTTCAAGGTACAGTGTGTAGAATTTAGTGATATCTAGTGTTTTGCATGTTGCAGCTGAACACCCCTCACCTCACCCTCTCCTTCCAAATAATAAAAAGAACCTGTGGTAGCTTCAGTTGTCATAAAAACTCAAAAGGTGTTTAGTTTGTCCAGTCTGGACTAATGTAAAAAACATGGCGGCCTCCGTAGAGAGGGTCCCCTCAATGTAAATATAAAGTATTTAAATATAAAGGTTCTTTTCTGGGGTAAAGAAAACTACTATTCATACAATTTAGATGAAACAAACGAGTGTAAACATCATGAGGATTATTCTACATTACTGCCAATAGTTCCCTTTCACCTAAATCTTACACACTGGACCTTTAATGTCCATCAAAATACTGGAAAAACTGTCCATTAGAAAAGCATGGACAAGATGTCAATGGCAGAGTGTAGACCTCCTCAAACACACCTCCCTGTCACTTCTTTTCAACTCATCCCTGCACTCACTTCCATCCACGCAGTGTGGACGCAGCAGCGCACCTTCCTCACATCTCACACAACTCTGGCATTTGAAGAAATCCCCCTCCCCTCTCAGCCAAGTGGGATTGTTGCCCGTGATGACACGCCGGACATTCCCGACGGCACTTGAAAGCAGCATAAATCCCTCCATGCTCAGTAAGCCTCTGAGGGCGCAGAGGAGGGGAAAGGTCACCGCAGACAATCTCCCATCTTTAAGATGTGCTGGTCAACACATTCCCACGACTACACCGTTTACAGTTTGTTGTGTGTGTGTGTTTCATCAGCAGTCTCCTCTCCCACCTAGAACACACACCTTTCCCCTCCACCTTTAGTTCTGCACCATCACACAACAATTAAAACCTCTAAGTCTGTGGTTAACAGCTGCTGGAGATTAGCAGGAGTATGGCTTCTCAATTGAGTGTTTTACAGAGACTAATCCCCCCCGACCACCCCCCCACCCTCCATCCTTCTCTTTAATGATAACACAGACAAGGCTACAGTCGTGTTCCTCTCTCCCCTCCACTAAATACTGGAGTTGCCAAAGCCTGCAGGCGTCGCGCAACTTTGGAAATAGGGTTCACAGGCAGGAGCACGAAGAAAGACAATGCAGAGGGAAATAAAAAAAAAGGGTCAGAAAGAATTGAGAAAGGTTCGAACTCACCTGAGAAAGACCGTCTCTCCTTGTCGGACGGTGATGTTGTCCATGACTTTGTTGTCGGACTGAGAGTCCCCTTGGCTGCGGACTGGCAACCCTGCAGGCACAAGAAGCAAAATCCTCAGAGACAGCAGAAGTGAGCATTTGTAAAAAGCGACAAAGTGTCCTCGGACAGACATCGTCTTCAGCCGGGTGGAGAAGACAAACCCCGCAGCGAGACAACGAGACGCGTATCGCCCCCGTGGAAAAAAAAAAAAAAACACGCTCCCGCGGAGATTATTTAGCCCCAGTTCATTAGTCTTAATCCAGATTGTGTGTCCAGGTAGCCGCAGAGCTCCGGGGAGGCGAGACACAGGACCCAGTGCGTCTGCACCGTGAAACACACATCCGCTGTTTACTGTTCAAAACAGGACAGGAGAAGACGGAAGCTTGCCTCCGTGTCTGCGCGGCAGCTGACGGTGTCCCCTGCTCCTGCAGCAAGTTTATGTCTCACACGAACGAGCGAGATCCCGGATTGAAATGTGCATCAGCGCACATGTGCGTAAAAGAGCAGGCGAACAACTAAAAGACTCATATTCAGAAGTTTGCACCGGGCAGGCACTTGTTCTGTCTGCACATCAGGAGCACGTGTTCGTACGTCAGAGACGCACAGTTGGGGCAGTGGTGGGAGCGACATGCTTCACATCCTCAACAATTAGACCCCGTGACAGAAGGAGACACATATAATGGCTAATGTTAATCCACAAAACAGTTTATATTGATTTGATGGATTATTAGAAATCACTTGTGCTGATGAAACAGAGACTTTTTGGCCTGTAGTGTTCATGCAGATTTGTTTCATGGTATTCAAAGTACTTTTCAATAGAATGTAATGATTCTGCAAATTCATATCACCTGCCATAATTGATTCGTCATCAAATATATGGTTGTAGCCAATGTTTACGTCACTAAATTATTATTTTTTTCAATTATCATTAAAATGAATGAAAAAAAACCACCAAAACAAATTACAAAAGCCCATGTTGAAAAATTAAAAAGTGAATAAATCCTTTTAGTGTAGTGTCACAGAGCAAGAACAAAAGCAAAAATGCACATTAAAATACTGGAATTGAGAGAATTTTTGTCATTTGTGCTTCAAACACATAATTAACTGATCAAAACCGGGGCCGGTTCATGTTTTTTTGTAGAAAACATCTAAAATGCTTTATCTCTAAACCTCCGAATGGAGAAGAAGAGATATCACACGCATGAAAAACAAATGTTGCAGGAAAAATAATTCAGTCTGGATAGTTCTGATATGTGTTGTGAGGAACCTACAGCCACTGTGATGACACACCCCTTCTCTTGAATGACACCCTATGAAGGCTACAAGCCCAAATTCCTGTGTGGAGCACGTCCGTGTGCACTTTGATACAAATGCAGTAGTGCTTTGGTGTGAATTCACATTTCCTTTAATATAACAGGGACTTCTCTCACTGAGTCCATCTTTAAACTCTGCATGCTGCCTTTTTTTTCCTTTTTTACTAAGCATCACATAGCCTCACTAATGGTCTGTTGTTTTAAAGAAAATACAAGGTTTTCTAAGTACAGATATGTGGAGTAATGGCATCCTGAGGAGAGAATGACCTCACACTCCCTCTTTGTGAGTCTTGATACAAGCATCTCTGTTCTTCTGGTAACTGGTACGGGTGCACCTTCATGTGCAAGTGAGTTTCTCCATGTGAAACCGTTGACCCTGCCCACATTCATATATTCATATGTCTCACGCTCCAGGCTGTGAAGTAAACATGACATGTGGGTGGACAATCAGTTTTTCCGTATTTTCCACTCCAACACGTCTTTCCGACACACAAACACTGTAAACGCAACTGTCACCTGCCCACCACAGTGCTGTCAAACATATATATGCTCATGTATGAGTGTGGATACATATTTCACCAACAAAAGCACGTGGCAAATATTCTGAAATGAGAAAGTAGGAGAAGCACAAGGGGAAAGTAATAAAACCAATGATGTTCCATGTAGCGTGAATACGGCTTTCTAAATGTATGTCAGTGACAATGGCTAAAACATTAAACTAGAAATAGTTAAATACTGTAAATTGAATATGGCATTGATAGACAGCTCTCTATTCCAGAGATAAAACATAAAACATGTCTTCATCAACCGCTGTAAGATGAGAGCTAACAAATCGAAGCATCTGTTAAAGTTACAGTATATGACCTATAGTCGTGCAGGTGACATTTCCATTACATCCCCATATCGTCAAATCAAAGCTCTATTTCATTACGGACAAGAAATGACATTGATAAAGAGATGTATACAGAAATAAACCTGAACATTGAGTGCCTGCAGTTCTCTGCCTTTGTGTCACTTAGACGCATTCATTACTCATTTCCTGAAGCCAAACTTGTAATAGGAACAGCTGCTAGCCTGAGATGAATATATACAAATGTTGGTTAAGAATTCTGCAGATGAAAGCCTGTGCTCAACATTTACAGCACAACTTTGTGGTGTGCATCCTTTTATTTCTGCCGGTTGTTATGCTGTGTGCATATGTATGGGCTCAAATTAGGATCATAAAGATTTTGAGCTTGTAAACAAAGTTTGTAGTTGTAAATCAACCTTTGTAAAACTGTGAAATTAAACTGCACGAATCCAAGTTTGCAGTACATCTTTGTGTACGGAGAGAAAAGAAAAAGATGGTGATGAGTGGTGAGGTTCCACAAAGGAACTGTGAACATCTGCACAGAAAAACAAACGCAGAATTATTCTACAGATTTACAGGTTGGTTTACAGCTGCACACACTTGGAATTATTTATGAAGATCCATTCACGAGTGTTTAATATTTATGAACCTAATCCTGAGCCCATATATCAGAGCTTCAATGCTTGATTACTTGATTTGACTGTGGTCTGAGGACTCACATAGTCATCAAGTCGACAAAGTAACAATGAAAATATTGATGGTTAGAAAGGGTAAAAATCAGTGTCAGACAGTTTCGCACTTTTAGGTTTGGACTCCAGAAGCCAGTGTTAATTCTCCGACAACTACAATGTACACCATTATGTGTCACGCTACACAGCGACAAGCCAGCATCAGGAAGCCCCTGCTGTGAATAAAAGGACATGGATACACATCAAGGTGATGAAACAAAAAGGACAAAGGACAGAATGGGTTCCATGGCAGCACTTGCAAATAGCACATTACAATTGAGGTGACATGTTTTTTTTTTTCTGCATTACATTAACAAAGTAACCTCCACATGATGCTTGACGTATGTGGCCGAGGACACGGTGTGAAAGAGAAAAGGACTGTATGGAACTGAACTGACTATTAAAAACAGTGAGTCACATTCTATAAATAGCTTCCTCGTCTCATACCCATACTTTGCCACAATGCCACTTTAATCCATAAGTAACTACACAAGCCTGAAGGCTCAGACTGGTTCGATGAGCAGTGTGTGATGAAACAAAGGTGTCTGACAGTTAACTATCATGTACAGTTTTGTCCAATTCGACCAATTGATTGGTCTTGATGCGATATGTGAAGTCTCTGATCAGGGGAGCAGCTTAAAGAGGTTAAGATGCTTACGTGAACCGCAACATTAAGCACTCAAACCTGGTGAGAAACCATCATTGTATTTCTCTCCCTCATTTCCCTGCAACCTCGCTCTACTGTCTATAAAAAAGTCCTGCCCAAGGCACATGGAAATACTGAAAGAACGATCTTAGAGTAAACTGTACAGCCCCAGCAAACGTCCCAAAACTAAAATACGTCCTTAGACAGTACAGTTTGTTTCATGTTTTGTCTTGAAGTCCAAGCTTATCATTGGAACTCTGGAGAATTGGGTCAGGACTTTCTCCAGAGGTTTCCTTTCACACATGGACATTGCAGAGGGAGTTTCTCCCCTTAAACGCATTCGCAGCTAGTCCTCTGCAGGATTCGGTGGGTGGTGCAACAGGCAGAGGCAGGACGTGCCTTATTAATTCCGCTGCAGAGATCACGTGTTTTTCTTAAATCACTTCGAAGTGTCATCAACAACCCCATTTGCTCATGGTGAATCCTGCAGAGGCTCTCCTGGTGTGCTCTCACATGGGCTCCCCCTCGAATTTTCTGCTGACTTTATAACAGGAGGAGGAAGTCTGCGGAAACTCCGGAGGCCCTCACTCTTACGTTTGCGTTCACGCACGCAACCTGTGGAGGATCTCCGGAGTTCAGTGTGTGTCTGAAAGCAGCTCACGAGAACCATATCTGTGACAGCTATGCACAAAGACAAACGTCAGTGAACTCCGTCCAGTGCATGAGACTGTCTCACTTAGGGAGGAAAACAACAAAAGCATAAGCATCGAATTTTGTCATGAAATAAACAGGGGATTGTGCGCTCATGTGACACTGCATTGCTCACATTAAGAAACCATCTGTGAAAATACCTTGAAATAGATTTTAATGACAAGGTGTAGATGAATAGACATCAAAGTCTGACTGCTTCACTGCACTTTGAATGGCAGCAGACTTTTTTTAACCTGCAATATTTTTCTGCTGTTACTTCATTGACAGGGGAACTGAGTGTCGTTTACCACACTCCTTATCTGTATGCAAGGATGCGTCACAGTGACATTCAGAAGACTGAGACTTTGTTTCCAGTGTGATATGAACCCACTGCCCGTGAAACCATATACATGTTTGTCTTCCTAATGTTTTGCTTTTCTATTGTTTACAATTATTAATATTGTGTTAAAGCACATAATCGCACAGGGATATTTTCCCAATGGAAAGGTCCAGTGTGTGAGATTTAAGTGAAAGGGATCTATTGGCAGAAATTTAATGTAGAATAATCCTCATCATGTTTTCATTAGTTCATTTCATCTCAATTGTATGAATTGTAGTTTTCTTTACCCCAGAAAAGGCCCTCTATATTTAAATACTTTATATTTACATCGAGGGGACCCTCTCTACGGAGGCTGCCATGTTTTTTACATTAGTCCAGACTGAACAAACTAAACACCTTTTGAGTTTTTATGACAACTAAAGGCTACCACAGGTTATTTTTGATATTTGGAAGGAGAGGGTGAGGTGAGGGGTGTTCAGCTGCAACATGACACCACTAGATATCACAAAATTCTACACACTGTACCCTTAAGAACACCATTTGAAACACATCTGATGTCATAACTTTAACACTAAATGTTGCTTCTTGTCTGTCAGCAGCCTCCTAGCAGTCTCCTCTGCCTTGTCTCAGTCATAACATGACACAAGAATATCCCACTGAGACAAAAAAGGAAGTCATGAAACCTTTCAGTGTTGGGCTCACAACTGCTACTGCTCTCATTCATTTAATCCCAGCATTCACCTGGTCTTTTCAATACCCACTATATTGCCTCTCAGCACTTTTACCTCAACTCGTCACACTGTCAAGTACATATAATATATATATATATATATATCTAATACAATAAAGTCATACTAATGTGAATTACAAGACCTGCAATTGTAAACATATTGAAGCTGAACATACAATTTGACCTTTTCTCGGGCTTTGCCATTGTTATTCACAATTTGACTGATTCAAATCATGAATCTACCAGGCATCCTAGTCTGTGGGCTGTGGTATCCACATGGTGTGAATTATAATAAGTTTCAATTTGTTTGACTCCTTTTTCTGCCTAAAAGGCCTGTAGAAGCTTTGCCCGGCCAATCAGTGTCAAAATCCACCAAAGACTTGAATATGACAACCTGCATTCATTACCACGTGAAATCCAAAACCTTTTCTGCCTTCAAAAAAACGAATATAA